TTTGTATTTTTGTATGTTTGTAATGAATAAACTCAAAAACTACTGGACCGATTGCAATAATTTTTTCACCATTAGAAAGCTGCATTATTCAGAAGTAACATAGGCTATATAATATCACGCTAGGTCCTATAGTTGTGGAGCAGTAACCAAAAATGTTTTAAAAACGGGGGAAAAGTATCGTTTCTGAGGCCTTCCGTGGCGTGCGCTGAGCATATAGTTAAAGTTATACAAAAATGCTCTATAGATGAATTGTTCATAAATAAATGAAATAAGTAAATGAAGTCCGGAAAAATATTTTCAAAAGGTAAATACTTCCTAAATAAAAAAAAACTGAGAATAAATATAAATAAAACGTAAAACTATGTGAAAAATCTTAAGTCCCCCTGTGCGAAGCCGGGACGGGCCGCTAGTCATTTTATAAAGAAAGAAATAAAAAAAATGTTTATTTGCACATCGTAACTAAGTACAATAACGCACAAAAAATTAAAACAGGGAGGACGACGCAAAAGGGAATGTATAAAAAAAATGTAGTGACAGAACTATACTTAAGCGCGACTTAAAATTGAGTAGTCTTTCAGTATTCAGGCGTAGGTGTAATATAATAATACTATTCGGTCAAATACAATCTGAGTTCAAGTTTACTTTAAGATCATTTTATCATTCCTTGAGAAATACAAACAAGATTAAACTACAAAGGCACAAACAAATTACGTTAAAAGATGTATAACAAATGAGGGCGCACACATATATAATAATTCTTTTTCTTCTTCTTCTTCTTAAAAACAACGTTGCCCCACACTAGGATCATCTCCTGTGTCGTGGGTGCGTTTACAACCATACAAGTTCACTTACACATTACACCCAGACTCGGAACAACAATCTGTGGATCACACAAAGTGTTGTTTCGTGCGGGAATCGAACCCGCGACACGTTGCACGGCAGCCGGTTGCCCAGCCACCGCACCAACGTTGCAGTCAATTTGCCAGACAATATTAAAGAGTTTCAATCGATTGCCATGTTTAAACTGTCAAACACCAAGCGGTCACCGGTGACCGCAACCTATTGTTCTATAATTGTGTCTATAATGACGGTACTCGACGAGTTAAAATTAGGTTGAGAAAATATGTATCAGAGAATATTTATGAATACCGTTTGGTTATAATGTTTTAATTAGTCATTTAAGGTCATTGTAAGTGAACCATGTTCTCTATGAGTGAATTAATAATCATTGAACCTGATACTTACATCTCCCTTAACTCCAGTAACAATTTTGGTGACATCAGTCCTATACTCCGCCTCCAACGTCTTCAGTGGTTGTTGGTCAGATCCCCCGTCCAAGTCTATGTACAGAGTGTGGACATCTACGTTCGGTTTGGGTAAGATCGCGTTTATGACCAAGTTGATTTGCTTGTTCGGGATTAATCCGAAGGTGGTGTTAGCGCCGATTCTGGTGGGAAGAAATTGTAATATGGTTAATTATGTATTAATTTGACTTGACCGTTATTCGAAGCTTATTTAATTGAGATAGGCCTTCTGCTTCCCTCCTTCCGCTTTTTCTATATGTCTATCTCTTTCTACTACGTCACTTCCACTTGGCAGTGGTGGGGAGTCTTGCTAAGCGAGACTCGCCATTTTTATTTCATTGAGTCTCATTACCAGGCAGAGCTTGACTATAAGCTTCGAATAAGGTAAGTAAATTAATATGCGTTTTATTGGTAGGTAAAACGCTTCCATTAATTTGACTTGACCGTTATTCGAAGCTTATTTAATTGAGACGTGTTTGTTATCGCCTGGTGGAAGTGACAGACGCCAATGTGAGGTAGTATGACTGCGTTGACCGCATTCGTACTACCTGGTATGATGTGGTAAAATCACAGAATAGAAAAACTAAGTAAAAACATATACATGTTTTGATGAAAGGCATTGAATAGAAAACCTGTTATTTTTAATTTTTCAATAATAATTGTATTTGATCTGAACAAAAACAGATGTTATATATTTCTGAGGTATTTTATTACCTCGTTTCTAATTTTCTGATTGACTGGATTGAATAAAAAGGTGACATACAAAGGCACACACATCTTAGGATCGCCTCAAAAGGATAACTATCCACTCAAATTTTTCAAGTCACAGCTGATCTGAAACCCTCAGGATGTCTTGGGGGATTACTGATACCTTAATATCGGTTACCACCAAAAAGGGACTTGATCCTGACCGCAATTACAGTTTTCTATGCCGGTTTAATTTTACGTCTAATAAAACAAAACTATAACAATTTGCATTATTTCCAAAATTGACACAACATTACAGCTTACGCTATTAAGTTATGCCTCTTATGGTATGCTTAGTCCATTGGACTGGATCTAAGCTTTAGAAATATGGTATACAGGCAGGGTATAGTCCGACTGAGGTGATAGGATGCTTTTTATCCCGATTAAATGCTCCCTTGGTAGAAACACACGGGCAAAGTCGGGGGTGAAAGCTAGTTTATTATTATCCATTCTATCAACAGAATCACTATTTGATCTAAAAACCGACCGAAAAACTAGTACGTCATTGTGATTACGGTAATTATTACAATCAATATCGAGCAAAGCTAAGTCATGGAATCTTCTCCTGGAGTATACCTCTAGGAGAAATAGAACAGCTGTTTGTCTCTACACTTGAAAGATTATTAATACGTTTACTGTGTAAGAATCTAGCTAGATCCTTTATGACCCAAACAGGGGGATTGACATGGTCAATCACCGTTTACAACATGTTTTACATACTTACATTTGAGATTAATTGACTAACTGATGTGTTATTTCATAAGTTAGATTAATGTGACTGATTGTATAGTTTTTAGCAATAAATGCTAAAGGACATATGGTTCTGGTTAACAAAGGACAGTAACCACAGATTTTGATTGTACAAAATTTAATTGTACGACAAATTATTGATTCAATAGAGATCAGATATAGATAAAAATGTAGTCAAAAACTTTGCTATAGGAGCGGAGGGGTTCCCCCCCCCCTCCGGTGCGGTGCAACCTTTTGAGGACTGCACTATAGATTTAACGTATTGACGGACGCCATGACTTCTTAAGAGATTTTAGTTGTGTAGAGTATCATTTTAATAGTATTCCAGACGGCCCGCGTTTCCACTCTTCCAAGGTCATGTCGTAGACGCTCGGTGGTGGCCGCCTTGTTCTTAATTAGGACTTTGTCTATGTGATAAAGCGTAAAGAAACGGGGTACTACCTACGGCAAGCGAGACACGCCAAAAACTCGCTCTCATTTAGGAACTACTAGTAGGTACGTTCTCTGTGCCTGATTGAGATAATCCAGGACCTAAGAAATCAAAAAAGCTGGAAAGAACACCCCCGCTGGGTTTTACAACGTTGCCATATGTGGGAAAATGCGTCACAAAACAGGGCTTGTCCGTAGTTTTGATATAAGGGCACGTAATTGTCATTACATGTACTCGGTATGACGCAAATAAGTTGATCAGTGGAACTCCGCATATGAAGACCGTTTTGTTCGTGCATTCTGCAGACAGATGCTCTCTAAAGTTTCACAAAACCTCAACAGATGATCTTCCTGGGCATTAAATATCTGGTACATGAAATACGTGTATGTTAACGCATATGAACGTATAATGGGAAACTCAGAAACTGAGGGTTAAATTCAGGGCTGGAACCACTTGGTGCTCCCCCTTTTGTAACGGATATATGCGACGACAGACTTGATGTCGTCCTATATCAAACCAGTCTATTTCAGGAACAGACAAGATCAGGATCTTCCAAAATTCTTAGAATAGCTAGCGTTCTCTTTGGGTTGCTATGACGATCTTTCTCGTGCTCTGACCAGAGACCCAAGAGAAAGAGATTGCCCAGGTAAGCTCCCTTAGCAATATCTGACGCATTGCACAATCTGCTGGGAATGTGAAGGTAGTAGCATGTGTAGGACAGACAGAGGATGATAACTCTGGCTCCTTCATACAAGATTGTTCACATGAGATGAAGTGAAGACCAATCTGCGATCGCCCTTTAAGATTTTATTCTTGTAGGATCAGAAACGCTTGAAAGTCGAGTCTTGCTCTTGAAACTGCAGAAGCAGCAAAAATAACTAGGCTCTGGAGTTCTGTGCGTGACTTGCATTTCTTCCGCATTAAAATATGGCCAAATGATCCCAGGAATTTTACTCCCGGGAATGTTTGGGATTTGACCATGGATCCCTGAATATTGACCAACTTTTCTAGAACATGGAGCCCAAGTTTAAAACGAAGTCCGAAGCCGGCCTTCGTCCTGGTGGTAATAAAAAATCCCGACACCTCATTGCCCAAGTGTCTGGGACAATCGTAGCAAAAGTATTGGACGCTGCGCTCATGCCTAATGATAAGCAAGTCATTCGTAGCAATTCATTGCGATAATTTAGGCGCAAAAACCTTCCGTGGCTACGGGCCACAGGTAAATGACACTACGCCTCAGAAATGTCGATTTTGCATAGACAATCAGGTTGTGGAAAATGAGAAATACTATGTGTGTTAACACGTATGTGTATTAACCAATCGGTCAGCTGATATATAAATTCTGAATTTCCAAATGGACGATGCGGTCGCACTTAGACCAGAAATATCAATGGTAGGAAGCTTGGCTGCTCAGTAGCTCGGTCCGCAACTGTCTGTTCTGTTATTTTGTTCATGACTGATGTCATTTCTGAACAGAGTGTCAGCGATTGTAGAACAGATGTTTGATGAACAGATGTTCCAGTTCAACAAGTTCGTTCCGACAACATTGGGGTGAACCAGGGTTGTTTTTGTAAAAAGGTATGCGATACCTTTTTATTATCATAATCTGACGTTCACAAGTTCCCATCGGTCTACCAATTGCAGGAGACTGTCCGCTCTGTTGTTAATACTTACGTCGTTTGTTGTCAATGCTGCAGCATCAATGACGGGGCGATGATACACGTCTTCGCTCCTGACTTGGCTAATTTTATTCTGCCGAGGATTTGACCAACTCCGACAGATATTCCAATTTTTCGGTGCGACCGAAATATATAAAAACAGCAT